GGGGCGGGGCATTGTCCTGGGCTGGGGGAGGAGCATCCTGGGGATGGCGCATCAGGTGCCAGGCAGGCGGGGGAGGAGCCTGCTAGGGGCGGAGCATCTGGGGCTGCGCTGGAAGGGGAGGAGCCTGCTGGGGACGGAACACTTGGGGCTGGGCTGGAAGGGGAGGAGCCTGCTGGGGGTGCACAACCCACAAGAGCCCTTAGGGCCACCCACCTGGCAAAGGTGCTGTCCAGGAAGCAGCGGTTGCGAAGCAGACCAGCCCAGAGCTGTACACCCACGATGCCGAAGATGAAGAAGACAAAGAAACAGAGCAGAAGGACGTTCCCGAGCATGGGCAGTGTGTCCAGCAGCAGCGTGACCAGGATCCGCATGCCTGCAGGTGGCAAAGAAACAAGTCAGCAGGGCGGTGCTCTCCTGGGGTTCCTCTAGGCCCCCACCCCTCCTGTGGGCCCTGCACCCTCCAGCTGTTCATACATGGGTATCAGCGACTCGGGGTGGGGGGAACCTGCACTGTGTCCCTACACATTCAGCGGGCGAGACACAAGGACCCCTGTAGATCAGACCTACATAAAGGACAGCAGGGCTGTGGGCCTAGGTCTCGAGGCTGATGGGTTCCCCCCACTCCTCCTGAATGACTGCCAGAGCCCCAGGGACCCCCAGCAGCTCAGGCTTTGGGCTGCTTCCAGCCCTCAGGAGCCTGGGGTCTTGCAACGGGGACAGGGCTGGGAGCATTTCTTTCCGTGCTCTGCGGGAACCATGCAGAAGTGGGCCCTGCACTGGAGGGAGGTGGGGGGGCCGCACAGACACCCAGGGCACGTGGTGGTTTTTCCAGAGAGAGTTTTGAAGCCCTTGTTGCCTGGGTGCTGGGGGCTGTGAGAGGGTAAGTTAATTAATCCAGTCACCCAAGCCCTGTGTGCCCTCTACTCACCTGCACCTGTCCCCTCCCAGACCTGAACAAGGGTAAGACAAACAAGGGCCAAGGCTCAGGCAGCAAACAGCACCCTCAGTCAGGGGTGGGGGCAGGTGCCGAGGCCTCAGAGCAGCACCTGTGAAGTGGCAAATGGCAGAACGGGCACCTGGGGTCACAGGGGGTGAACCATAGCCAGGAATGGCATGGAAGTTTCAGAAGTGGCGGGGAGAAAGATTTTTTTAATTTTTTTTTTTTTTTTTTTTACATTTATTTACTTTTCAAAGACAGAGAGCACAAGCAGGGGAGGGGCAGAGAGAGAAGGAGACACAGAACCTGAAGCAGGCTCCACACTCCGAGCCACCAGCACAGACCCCAACGCGGGGCTCGAACTCGCGGACCGCACAATCATGACCTGTACCGAAGTCGGCCACTCAACCGACTGAGCCACCCAGGCGCCCCAAAGGGGAGGAAGATTTGTAAGGGACACGCAGCCAGACATGAACTGGCTCAAAGGGCACAGATGTGATCCAGGGATCAGAGTGGACCCCAGGAAGCCAGTGAGATGCAACTCTGCCTAGGGGAGGTGCGCAGTTTGGGACAGGGAAATGTCCCCAGAGGGAGGCCAGGCTGCTGGGGACAGTTCTGGACACTGTAGACATTTAGCCTGAAAAGCGAGTTCTGCAGAAATGGGCCGTGTTGTGGCTTCCCTGCTCTCAAAGGTGGGCCCAGGTGAGCAGACTGCATGGTGGGTGCCAGGCACCGAGCTGAGAGCCATGCACACCAGCTCCCCTCACGCTCACATCCACCTGGGGGGGGGCGGGTACCACTAGTGTCCTGCTGTTACAGCGGGGAAAACCGAGGCTCAGGGAGGTCAGTACCTTTCCCAGGCTCACACAGCACCTGAGCCCCACCTGACCCCTGAGGACAGAGCCAACTGGGCAGGCGGGAAAAAGACCCAGGTGTCCCCCAGCACAGCACAACTCCGTGACACCTGCCCTCTGGTGGAGCTGACGGGCCCGTGGCAGGGGGGGTACTGGTCCCTGGCGGGGGGGGGGGGGGCGCCCCCCCCGGGGGGCGGGGGGACAGGCCTGGGTGCCGAAGCTGCCAGGACTCAGGCCTCCCCACTGGAGAGGCTGTGTGCACACGGTACGCGCAGACCTGTGCACACACACGTACGCACACGCCTTACGTGGTACTGTGGGCACTGACTGCCCTCCTGCCCAGGGAGAGGAACGGCTGAATTCACACGCGACACCGGAAAAGACTCAAACCATTCCCCCGCATGGGCAGATGACCCGTGTAAGGGCGGGCCGCTTTCCAAACAAGCACCCACGTGACTTCCCGGAAGCTTCTCTACGCTGCCCTGAAGCACCAGACGCCTCTGGCGGAGACAGGACCTGAGAGTCAGTGGCACGCGCCAGATGACGAAGCCACCAGGGCCTGCACAGCCCCCAGTGTGACCCAAATGTCGTGCAGATGAGAAGCCCGAGGCCCAGAGCATCCGGTCACCCCGCCGCACTGTGGGGAGCCAGGACCCCACACTGCCTGCCTGTCACACCGCAACATGGTCCAGGATGGCTCTGTCCTCCCCAAAAGGGGCAAATCCTCCAGGGCCCTCCTCCCCCAGGACGAGGGTCTGTGCTGGGGCCAGAGAGTCCAGAAGCAGGCGGTGTGCCCTAGGGGACCCTTGAGAGCTGTCAGTAAGGCCGGTAGGACACCCAGTCCTGTCCCACAAAGGGGTCACTTACTGGGCACACGGTTGATGGCGCGGAGGGGCCGCAACACACGCACCGTCCGGATGGCGGAGAGGCTCACGTTGTGTCCGTCCAGGGAGTACTCCATCATGCTGGTGGAGGGGCAGCGGGACACAGAGGCTCAGGGGGTGCCCACAGCCCCGGGGGCAGAGGTGAGCACAGCCCTTCTCCAGGGCCAGGAGGCCCCAGGCAGGTGACCACACGTTGGGGGCCTGGTCCCCGAGCTGTACGCCGAGCCTCCCTGGGTCACCACTGGGGCCCCTTACCGCTCACCCCATCTGCCTGTCCTGCCACCCCCACTGCCAGCACAGGGAGCCCCAGGACCCGCATCCCGCTCCCTGGCAGAGGCTCCCCACCCTCAGCCTCCTCCCAGATTAGGCTTTGCCGGGGGGGGGGGCCCCTGCAGAGGGCACCACCCATCCCCCTTCCTGGAGGGCCCCAGGGGCTCCCAGCCAGGCTCGGTCAGGCACCGGCGCCACCGCGGGGCAGCCCTAGCTTTGGGGGTCCAGGGGGTCCGTACCCCGCCATGACGATGAAGAAATCCAGCCTGTTCCACGTGTCGCCCAGGTAGCACTTCTGCCCGAACAGCCCCAGGGCGACCATCTTGATGATCATCTCCACGGCAAAGAAGGCGAAGATGAAGTCGTCGAAGGCCTGGTGGGAGGCGGGGCCTGAAAGGCGCGGCCTGGGAGGCGGGGCCTGCACCCCCGCACCCAGGGGCTGCCCCCGCACGCCCGCACCCGGGGATGCCCACCACGGGCCCACCTCCAGGATGCTGCAGCGCTCCGACCGGCACTCGACGTCCTCGCAGGGCCGGAACATTCCCAGGGTCACGCAGTTGAGCATGATGACCAGCATGCTGACGTGCTCGAACCACGTGCGGCAGGCGGTCGAGTTAAGGGTGGACGCTGGAGGCTGAGACGGCCGCGGGGCAGCAGGGCAGGGGGCGGCTGCACCCCTACGGCCGCCACGGTGCCTACAGGCACGTCACGGGCTGAACCCTCAACAGCCCCCGCGCCCACCCCGTTGGCCGGGCCTCAAGGGGCAGAGCCCTGGTGCTGGCCACCGTGCGCAGTGACCGCTGCATTCCCGCGTGGGCCACTGCTGCCACCCCCGCGCTGTGGATGACGGCTGCGGCCCCTCTGCCAGGCTCTCCCCCCACCAGCTCGGGTGTTCCAGAGTGAGGCCACACACTCGGTGCCCAGCCGGGACACCAACACATGCTGCAGACGCACACGAACCTTGAGGGGGACTCCACGCTAACCCCCACGTGATGCCAGCAGGCGCGGGGTGCCCTGACCACAGCAGCTGGGATGACGGACACAGGCTTTAGCTCAGCTCAGGGACTGCGCATGGAGGACCCACAGCCCTCCTGTGCGCCTGGATGGATGGGGGCCAGGGAGGCCACCCCAAGCGGCCTGCAGCGACCGGCCACCTCCAAGAGTGTCCTGCTGGCAGGAGTGCGTCCAGGTGGCGTGGGGGCCTCGGGAGCTGGGTCAGCAGCCACCCCCAGGTACTCTGCACCTCCGCCACTCAGACCCGCGAGAACTCCCGGGCATTCCCAGAGCAGCCACCAGGTGGCGCTGGGGCCCCACGCAGGCTGCACAGTGGCCTGGCCCACCGTAGCTGTCTCTGCGAAGGGGTGCATCCCTACACCCAGCCCAGCTGGATCCCCAGGAACTCAGGGAGCATGTGAGGCATGGGGAGACAGCCAGGCAGCACGGGGGACGGGGGCTCCACACAAACCCTGTGGACGCACGCACGCAGTCCTCGTGGCCGAGAGGGCTTGGCGGTACTCTGTGCACCGCCTCCCCGCCCCCCCCCCCATGTCATCCCCACCGCACGAATCCCTGGACCCACCTCTGAGGTGGGCTTTCTGTGGGGCTGCCTAAGCCAGAGAACAAAGGGAGAAGAGCAATGGCCTAGGTGACCAGAACCTGGGGCACGGTGGGGATAAGGCCTGGGGAGGTGAATGGGGTCAGAAACACGGGGCATGAAGGAGACTCCTCTGCAGGGGCTGGAAGCAGCCCGTGCCCTCGTCTCCCCCAGCCTCCTGGGCAGGGGCAGAGCCAGCAGGGCACAGTGCAGGGGCAAGAGTGGGTCAGGGCCAGCAGGGCACAGTCCGGCGCGGTGCCAGGCCACCAGGGTAATTATGTTCCCGCCGAGAGCGCCGTAATTACAGTTAATGGGTTCAGCAGTAACAAGTGTTTCTTCTGTGGTCTGGCTGCAGAAAAACAGAAGTCAGCTTCCTGCTAAGGCGGCACCCTGGCCCCCAAGCCCCATGATGGGTTGTCCGGGGAGGACAGGCTGACACCCTGGGGGGTTCAGACAGCTGGGCTAACGGCAGCACCAAATACCCAGGGTGTACCCACTGTGCATAAGCCTGGATCCATCTGGGGATCTTGGGGACCCCCTGCACAGATTGGGTCCCATGCTGTCACGGCGTGCTGAGGCTGCACATGGGCGCTGGTCCTCTCCACCACCCAGGCACCACTCTGCTGGCCTCCCGACCCCTCTGTCCCTCCATTGCTGCGGTAATAGCTCTGTGGAGAGCTCACGTGTGGATAGGATGTGTGTGTGTGTGTGTGTGTGTGTGTGTGTGTGTGTGTGTGTGTGTCTGTGTGTGTGTCATGAAGGCAGAGCTGTGGTCAGTGACACAGAATGGCTCAGCAGACCGGCCTGCAGGGAGACAAAGCCCCACATCCCCACCAGGCACGGCAAGTGGCTCTGGGCAGGCGACAGTGGGATGGCGTGAGGGAGTGCATCCCACCCCACCCCTCCTCCCTGACCCAGGTAGACCCTGGGTCTTGCAGCTGCACGCCCCGCCCCCACCTGGCAGGGAGGCAGCATACACGAGCCTGGGGCCCCCAATGTGCGTGTGCAGCCACCCGTGCAGGTGTGGGGACTGTCTGCCTCTTTGGAACCTGGAACCCCCTCTCTCTGTCCCAGCACCCCAAGCTCTCCCAGGCTGGGCTGCCTCCCCCACCAGGGAATCCTGTTTCTCCAGCCTGCTGCCTGACTTCTCCCAGGCTTGCGCCAGTGCTCACTCAAGATCCCCCTGGAGACCCCCCTGTAGGAACATCCAAACCAGGGAAGGTGTCCTCAATGAGGTGATGAATGTGCATGGTGGCCCTACACCTGGCCCAGAACAAACCCACCGGCTACCCCCAAGCCCCTAATCAGCACTGCCACAGCCACTCCCGCCAAGCTGTGGTGTGGCCCCTGTTCTGGACCCTGGGGCACAGGGCCAGGCAGGGAATGAAGGGGTAGGTACAGGCATCTCCTGGCCTGGGGGTTTCTTGCAGGGGACCTGATCTAGACCCCAGAGCTGGTGTCAGGCAAAGCGGAGGACATCTACCCTCAACAGTGGGCAGGAGGCAGACTATTCAGGCCAGGAGCTAGGAAGGGCCCTCACTCCCCAGGAGGAGACACAAACCAGGCCCCCAGGAACTTGAAAAGACAGCTCTCCTGGGGGCCCCTGAGCTGGGGTCCTACCTCCCCTGTTCTTCCCAAACTGCTGGCAAGCCATGCCCGCCCATCCGCTTCAGGTTCCTCCTGACGGTGCTGCTCCTATGGGCCTTGGCCCGCCTGCCCCACCCATGAGGCATGTCCTGGGGCTCAGGACCCCTCAGGCAGGAGTCTGGGTACCCATCCTGGAGAGCATGAACACAGGTTCATCCAAGAAGTGGGACGCTATCGGTGTGTGTGTGTGTGTGTGTGTGTGCGCGCGCGCGCGTGTGACTGGGATAACCACGCCGGTCAGCATGGCTCCAGCACCTAGAAAGTTCTCCATCCATCACTGAGATCGCTTGCCCTTGTGGGGCTACTATGCTAGTGATAGAGCCTCTGTAGCCTCTACCTCTCTCCCCCACAACCCCAAACACACACCTGGGAGGGAAGAGATCCTAGGGTCCTGCATCGGGGCCCCGAGACTTTGCCTCGGTCCGTGTAAAGGAAAGTGCACAGGAGCATGTGTGGTCCTCACAGGCAGCACAGGTCCTGTGGATAGCCAGGAGGCTCCCCCGAGACAGGGGTCACAGGGCTGAATCAGCCCCCCACATCAGCAAGGCCACCTTCCTCCCCCATCACACTTTAGTGGGTAGCTGAGGACAGGCAGTGCCACCCAGCTACCCATCCAGAGCCCAGTGACTTCTGGAGACTTAATTACACAGATGGGTTTTCTGGATTTTAATTAAAAATCCTTTAGGTTTGGAACCAACTTCTGCAAATTAGAGTCAATTTCCACCATGGATCCAAGGAAGCCAAGCTGATGCGCAAGCAGGAGGAGGCAGCGACTCCTGCATAGGGAGGGGCCCACAGTGCTGCCCAGGGCCTGGCCACAGAGGCTCCGGGGGCTTGAGTCCAAAGCTGAATGAGATGGTCTCACCCACAGGATCCCAGAGCCAGCAAGGCTCTGTCTGGCCAGCAGTGAGCCCTCTGACCTACACTCTTTGAGCGCCCTGGTCCCAGGCCCTCCCTCAGGGCTGGAGACCCCACCAGCGGCGGGGGCAGGGATCCTGTCTGTCGGGAGACCCCTTAGACGTCATGCCCACGCTGTGAGCCCCACACTCCGCACTCAGAGCCCTTCCAGCATATTCTGCCCAGCCTGGCCTGACGCCAGCCTTTCATACCTCCCCGCTTCCCTTCAGGCCTTTGCTGAACCAAGGCTGCACCACCTCTGGCAGCCACGCCACGGCTGGCCCCCCAGCCCTGGCGGGTGTGGAGGAGGGGCCCAATCCTGTGCTGAGGCTCTCGGTGCCAACTTCCTGACCTCTCCGACCATGGCTCCAATGCACCCCACACAGACACCCCAACGCGAGGCCGCAGTGGCGAGGAGGTGGTGGCCGCTGTCCGTGGTGCTGAAACCGGCCCTGCCGGGGCTTGCTCAGGGCTGGGCCACTTGCTGGACAGCCCGGGGGGATGCTGCTCGCCTGAGGGTCTGAGGCTTTGCTGGGAACCGCTCCATCAAGCCACCCTTCCTCATTCTCAGACTCCCAGCTGGTTAAGAAAAGCACACCAAGAGAGGCTTCGAAGATGGCACTGGCCTGTGAGCCCCATCTCCTCCTGTCCCCGGGCGTGGGCACTGGGTGGGAATGTCCCAGAAGGGGGGGTGACCCCAGCAGGGGTGACCCCAACAGGGCTGGAAGCCAGAAGGGGCTCATGGCCCCTCCCCAGTGACCGTGGTTTCTAGGGTCCTGGAACCAGGTGGAGTTCCCTGCAGACGCCTGCACGGCACGGGGCAGTGTGGTCCAAAGGGTGGTCCTGGACCCCCGAGCCAAAGCCTCATTGTTAACATGCAGCTCCCCACGGCCACCCAGCTGGCTCAAGGCCCCCAGACCCAGGGGGTGGGCCGTTTCTCCCCCTGCCCAGCTCTGAGCCAGAGGACGAGAGCCTGACGCCGACAATACCACTGCTTGCCCCTCCTCTTTTCTGAGCCTCGGCTTCCCCCACCCCCATACGATGGGAGTGTGGCAACTATATTTCAGGGGCTGAGGGAAGCACCCAGATTCCTTACCTTCTGTGGGAGCATCCAGCAGGCTCCATGTCCCCCCTACCCTCCCTCATCCTGAGAATGCCACTTCAGCTCCCCTGGCCGGCCCCACACACAAGGAGGGAGGGGATGTGGTGTTCACCAGAGGGACAGGGACAGGGGGCTGGACACCCCTCACTGAGAGACACACACCAACGGGGAACACAGCAGCTGGAGGGGCCCCTCCGCAGGGCATGTGGGGACCAGGCCCTGATCCCACAGGCTGGGCTCCCTGAGGGGCTGTCAGGAGATCACGCGGATAGATCTGCAAAGCTCTGTCTCCGGAAGATGAGAAAGCCCCGTGCAGGCCAGCCCCGCCCACCGCCCTCCAGAGCAATCTGCTCAGCCAGCTAAGCTCCATTAGACCAAATCCACGACAGCTTGGCGTGAATGTCCTCGTGTCTGGGGGGAGGGGATGGGAGGGGGGGGGCGGTGGGGCAGGAGCAGCAGGAAGCAGGGGGCCCAGGGTGGGGTGGGCCAGAGCCCCCTCCTCACCATGGCCTCAGCCAGGTCGGGTCCCCCGTCTGCCTGTCTGGGACCCACAGCAGCTGCCCCCGCAGCCGAGAGGCGGCCTTGGGCCGTTGTGATCCCCCGTACACGGGGAGTGCTCAGCCCAGACCCCCATGCGAGGCCCTCAGACACCAGCCTCGGACCCCGATGGGCCTTCAGTCTTCCTGGGTAGTGTGGACAAGTGGCCTGCATGGGCACATGGGGTGTAGGGGTCAGCTCAGCCAGTCCAGGGGCTCCACAGGTGCACGCGCCTGCCCCACAGACCACAGACACACAGCGGCCGATGGAGGTCCCACATGCCGGGCCAAGGGCCCCACTCCGGTTGGACCGCTGATGGGGGCAAGCCCTTCCCAGCCCTGGGGGAGGTGGTGTGGGGCCTTCCGTGCCGCTGTGCACACAGGGCCTGCCGCCCCCGCCCCCCAGCCTTCATTCTCCTGAGCATTCAAGCTTGCTCTTCCATTTTGCTCCAGGAGAAGAGCGTATGTTTATTCATGGGGGAGAAAGCCCATCCTACAAGGGAAAACAATTCTGGGCCACTGACAGCAGACGTCTACTGTACCCCACACGGCTGAGTGGGTGGCTGCAGACAGAACAGCTGTGGGGCCGGAAGAAACACCCCACGCAGGCCCGAGCCAGCCGCAGACCAGGCCCTGGGGCCCCGTGGGCAGCACGGGAGACCCCAAGAACCAGCCCACGTCTCAGTCACGGTGTGGCCTTCCCCGAGTCCAGCCCCTCCCGGGCGCTCCGCCCACACACCCACCAAGAGCCGGGCGGTTCCTGGGAACCAGTGAGGCTGCGGGCCCCGGGGCGAGCCAGGAAGTACCACGCGGGGCCCCTGAACATCAGACCGCGTCCACGGACAGGGTGCGAGGCTGCAGCGGGGCCGCCGGCACTGGCGCAGAAACACATCCTGAGCAGACAGAGACCACTGTTCGTGAAAACAGCTACCACGTGGAGGCTCGCTCCTCTAGGACGTGGCTTGACGCACGTGTACGAGAAGACGCGGGAAAGTTCCGGCAGAAACCCTCACGGGGAGGGAGTGAGACAGGGTCCAGGCCGAGGCCGGGCTGACGGGGCTGGCAGGAGTCGAGAGGCCACTTTTGCTGCCCCCTACCCACCCCCACCCCGTGCCCTCTCGGCCCCCCGGTTCAGTCTGTGTGATTATGCATCTTGCGTGTTCTTACTGGAGACACACGCGTGACGGGGCTTCCCCGACGCTTCCCCGCGGCCCCCATTCCTCTGCACCACTCGTGGACACCATCTCCAGCCCTCCAGGTGGGGCGGGCAAAACGGACAAGGGCTGAGCTTGGCATCAGGGCCCTCTGGAGACGGCCAGTTCCACGTGGAGCGTAGATGGCTGCTGGCAGCACCACGGACCCCATGCGGGCGCAGCTCCCAGCCAGGCGCACCCCAGTTCCTCAGACCATCAGGTCACACACGGCTCGGCACACCCCAGAGAGAGGAGGGCCCTCTGACAGACACGCACGGGCTCACGGCTGCCCACGGGAAGAAACAACCCAAACATCCACTAACTCACGCGCGGATAAACAAGGTGTGGCCCATCCGTACAGTGACACATCCCTCTGGCCGAGAAGAGGAGCAGAACCTCCACACCTGCTACCACGTGGGTGAATGGCACAGGTGGGGCGCTCGGGGACAGAAGCCAACGGAAGAGGACGAGGGTTGCGGGACCTGGTTCCAGGACCTGGGTTGCCTGTGTCCACCGCAGGCAAATGTGGACAGACCATGGACTAGTGGCTGCCAGGGGCTGGGGGAGGGGGGCAGAGAGTGAGAGCTAGTGGGGACAGGTTCCCTGTGGGGTGATGGAATGTTCTGGAACTAGGAAGAGCGGGAGGTGGCACCGCACCGTTAACACACTGAACTCTCCAGGACGTGTGCGTTTCACCTCAGTGGCTGAAACACAGAGTACTGGGGATTCTTTTTGACCACTCCATCTTGCTGGAGCCTCCAACGTGTCCTTGCTGTCCCTCAAATCCAGGCGGAGACTCAGGACCGGCACCTGGGCGGGCATGGAGGGAACCCCGCCCCCCGCCCCGGCTCCTCCGCCACGCGGCCTCCCTCCCTGCAGGGTACAGCAACCCCCCCAGCTCTGCGCAGATGGGCTCCCCAGCACTCCAGGGTCCTCCTGGTGGCTTCCCATCGTGGGTCCAGCTGCCCGTGGGGACAGCATCCAACGATGCCTCCCAGAACTCACAGCGGACCAGGGTAGCCGGGCCCCTGGGACCCTTGAAAGGCAGAGCAGGAGCTCCAAGTAGAGTACTAAGGCAAAGCCACTTGCCATCCTCCCTGGGCTGTTGTAGCCCAGGGACACCCTTGACCCTCAAAAACCCGGCCTGGACACCCCTGGTCCCGGCAGGGCCCAGGGCTCCAGCCCCACACCGCAGGGCCTCAGCAGGTCCAAACCTGTGCGCCTGCTAATGAAGCCCAAAGCCTGTGGGGACTCAGGCCTGGCGGGAGCCGCAGGCAGGGGTCTGCTCCCTGGTCTCGGGGGTTCTGGCAGGGCCCCTGCCCTTGGGGGACCCTGGTCTCCTGGGACCGACTCCTTCTCTGAAGCCCTGAAGGCCCCCTTGCTCAGCAGGTGTGGAGCGGAGACCTTTGGGGGCCCCGCCTGCACCCTATGGTGTGAACCACGCTGTGGTGGGCATCCACGTTCCTGCCGCCAGCATCCACCTTGTCGTCAGTGGGTCCCCCAAAGTCTTATCGCTTCTGCCCCAGCCTGGGGGGTCAGGCACCACCTGAAGGGAGAGCACACCCCCACCCAAACCCCGGGCAGAGGTACCTTCCCTGGTTCCCCGGTGACGATTATTCCATAAACACTCCTGCTTAATTAACTAGCGATGAATCAACTGATTAAGGCTTCAGCCGGCATGACGGGGCCCAGCCCAGGGTGGGATGTTCAACTGCAGATTAGGGGGCCTCGGGGCAGTGGCACTGAACAGGAATGCGGGTGTGTCCGGGCTGGGCTCGCACACGCTGGGCCCCCAGGGAACATCTCGGTCATCTCAGCAGTGCTCGGGCTCAGCCGCTCAGACCTCTGCAGCACAGGCCCAGCACCCCTCACCAGGACTGACTGGTGTGGTGAGCGATGAAGCCGGTGTGGCTGAGACCCGTGGAGGATGGGGGGGGGGGGGGGGGGGGGGGGTGGGAGGGTGGTGCCTGATGCTCTGGACAAAGCCAGCTACCCGGCACCTGCCACCATGCCAGGGCACCTCGTCTAACAGCTGTGGGAACGGACGATGCCCACGGGGCTCCTGGAGGAGGGCCTCTGTGCCACCAACCCTGACGCCCACAGGGGCACAGGCCCCGTGCTCCAGTCTCACATGGGGGACTCTCTGAGGAGGGAGAAGCAGCCACTCTAGATCCCACCATGAAGGAAGTTTCTCTCCCGCCTGAGGTTGTTGCCATGACAACAGGCTGCTGAAAAAGTAAGGAGGGGGCTCTGGGAAGGGCCCCCACCCCAGCTCACTCCCTCCAACAGCCCCCGGTCTCCAGCCTCCCCACCCACCCCTTAGGCCACCACCGCAGAATTTTAAGTGGGGGAAGGGGGTGGGGTCCCGAAGATTGTCAGCGTCTGGGAAGAAGGGGACGATGAGGGGAAGGCCTGGGGGCTCAGGCCAGGTGCGCCTGCAGGCAGACCATTTCCAAGTCAGAGACACGGTGGCCTTTTCGGCCTGTCCCCACCACACACGTCCACGCTGCACAGGAAGGGCCCTGGTTCCCTGTGGCCAACTCCCATTCATGCAACCCGTGGGGACACAGGACCCCTGCCCCAGCCAGCCACACGGGCCCTGGGGAACCACAGGTCTGCCGGCCCATCAAGAACTCCCTGGACGTGGCTCACCCAGCACCTTGGCGACAGGATCTGCCACAGCCACTGTGGGGGGCAGCGGTACCCGCCCCCCGAATCTGACATGGGCCCTGCCAGCCTCTGTGCCCGCCTGTCCCCTGGCCTCTCCCCAATGGTTCCTCTGCTCTGAGCCCCAGGCCCCTGCTGCTTCCCCTCCGGCCAGACTCAGGCTGCAGGGAGCCCTCCTCCCCACTCTGTCCTCGTCCCCATCCGCTCGCCCGTCCCTGGGCCGGTGTGACTCATGCTCACTGGGCTCCGGCTGGGGTGGGGAGCCAGAAGAGCTGGCCAAACATGGAGCTGTTTGCTCTGCGCCTGCGGCTCAGGGTCACGCGGGGGGAGTTCAGGGGGGCCGGGCCGTTCCCGGGAGATCACCTCCCCTGGGAAGACAAGAGGCTGTATGTAGGCCCCCTCCCCATCGGAGCCGGCCACCCACCCCGGCCACCCACCCCGTGATAGGAGCTCATCACCCCACCCGTGCACACCTCCGGCCACTGGAACATTCTTTCTCTGTTCTGAGAGCTTCTCCCTGTACCGGCGGCCCTGGACACTTCCGGAGCCGTGCTCTGGGACTCCCCAGGAAGCCAGCTCTGACCCAGCAATGAACCCCCTTCCCTAACCCCTGGGCACGCCTGCCCCCGCGAAGCCCAGGGCATCCAGGGCTGAGGCCCACGTCCTGCCCAGCAGAGCCCAGTGCCTGGTTCTGTTCTGAGCAGTTCGTGGCACCGACGCCCCTGCTGCCGGCCTGATTTCTGAGCTCATCTGGGCACCATGTTGTCCTCGCCCTAGCGGCATCCACCCCCATCTGCCGCAGAAGCAGCCCCCTCCCTGGACCCCGGCCGAGTAGGGCCCAGGGCAGCCAGACCCTGGCAAGAGACCTAGCCTGTGCCCGTGCGTGCCTGTGCGCTGAGCACTGGAGACCAGCGTCTGGGCATGCGTGTGTCCGCTCAGGTGCGTGGACTACCCATTCCTGTGTGCCATGCATGCCCCACACACGTGCATCGGAGCAGAAGATGTGCGGGCAGGCTAACACGATCGGACACGTACAGCCGAGCTCACCTTGCCAGGAGCGGGGTTGGAGGTTGGCTTTTCTCCGGAGGAAAGAGCGCCCCCACCCCACACAAAGCGAAACGCTCATTTACACAAACATCCTGGAGCCCGAGCACATGCCCACAGCTCCCTCTAATTGTGCACAATTTTAAAGACCATGCTAATTAGGAAGCGCGCTAATGTCTCTGCTTAGCTCTTAATAAGGAGCTTGATTTCGGATTTTTTCAAGGCATAATTGAGTGGAAAAGCACCCCGTCTCCACTTCCAATTATCATCCCGCAGGAAGCCTGACTGTGCTGGCCACGGACCCTCATGGAGACCCTGCCAGCCACTTGGTGGCGGCATGTGAGAGTGAGTTGGAGGCCCACAGCCCCCCTCCCAGGCCATTTTCCCGTCTGAAAGGGGAGCTAGCCCCCAGCTCTGTTCCTTTCCTGTATCTCAAGCTCTCCTGATGGATCTCCACGTCACAGCTCTGGCTCGATTCCTGCTGGAGCAGCTGAGGGCTTGAACACTCCTAGGACCGGGCCATCCCTTCGGGCTGGCTTTGTCCTGGATGCAGAAGGCGGGTGGACTGGCCTTGCCACGTGAAGCCTCCTTCCCAGCGAGGCTCCTCTGCGCAGGCTGGGGCCCCCTGCAGGGGGCTGTGCATAACACCCCCCCCCCTCCCGACCCTGGAAGGGAAAGGCGTGGGTGGGGGGGGCACAGAGCCAGGAGGGCCCCCGGGGAGGAGGACAGACCGCCCGTGGGGACAGGGCTTCGGGGCCTGCTCTGGGCAGGAATTCTCCGGGCCAGAAATAACTGCCTCGGCACCAGTGCGCAGCTGCCCGAGGCCCAAATTAGCGACCCCGGGGGACTGGACGCTCCTTCCCTGGGAACTCGGCCTGGGGAACGCGCCTACCCCACCCCCAGCCGGCAGGCCGCCCGAGACCACGGCCCCAGGGTGTGTAGGGGCTGAAGGCAGCTCCCTCCAGCAAGAGCCCCGGGCCACACCCCAGCAGTGACCGACCCGGAGGCCGGGAGCCCGCGGGTGGGGTCTGGCTTCCTCAGCTCTGCCCCACGGAGGGCAGGGCCAACCCCTCACGGTCCCACAAACACCCGACACATGCAGTGACCACGGTGGGAACACGCATCACGTGCAGGTATACATCTCTGCACACATGGGAGCCTGGCAAAGGGGCCCCCGCAGCAGGACTGTCCCCACGACCCTGCCCACGCCAGCCGGCCCCTCCCTGAAAATCCCAGCCTCCCCCCAGGCGTTGCCTGGCAACTGGGCATTAAGAAGGAAGGGCAGGGGGCGCCTGGGGGGCTCAGTCTGTTGGGCATCTGACTCGATGTCGGTTCTGGTCACCATCTCATGGTTGGTGGGATTGAGCCCCGTGTCAGGCTCTGCGCTGACTGCAAGGAACATGCTCGGGAGTCTCTGTCTCCCGCTCTCTGTCCCTCTCCCGCTTGTGTATGCGCTGGCTCACTCTCTCTCAAAATAAAAAAACATTAAAAAAAAAGGAAAAGGGGCTCCCCCATGGCACCCCCCCCCCCACCAACAGCTGGGCAGCCAAGGCCTCCTTCTGGGGGGGCTGGAACAGGGGAAGGGCCCCCAGACCTCCCACCCGAGGTCAGGGACCAAGTCCAGCCCCCACCCACAGACACGACACACCCTCTCCAAGGGCCCACAGGTCACCTTCCCCAACGTGCTGGTAGCCAAGAGCCCCCAGGCACAGGACAGCTGGGGGGCCTGCAGGGCACGGGGGTTTTTAAGTCCCTGGCAGGTTTAGGAAGTAGCCCACCAGGAGGAGGGCTGAAGCGGGGACAGCCGCGGGGGCCACCCACTCTCCTGAGCCAGTCGCCCACTCAGTGATACCTCCGCCACCACTACCGGGCGTCCCCGTCAAGCCGGGACCCCTCGCACGGCACCGGTCCCACTGGATGGGGCCTGCCTTCTCGTCAGGGGCTCCGGGGCTGCCCAGAGGAGGATGTTTGGGCCGAGCCCCAGGCTCGGGGGCTGGATCTGGAACCAGGACCGTGGTCCTGAGAACCCCGCGAGGGCGCGGACTCCCATGGTGATCAACCACCCGCCGTGGGAATCGTCCCTGAGCGGGCCAGAGGCTCAGGCTGGCCACTGGCCACAGCCCACGACAGAGACCCAGGCGGGGCCCTCCGCTCTGACTCCTGGAGAGAACCCGGGGTCGGGGCTCCTGGGGGAAGAGTCACGAGCATGTGCTCCCCACACAGACCTCTAGGGGCCCCTGTAGCCCTTGGTAGGAACACACCTGGTGGCAGACTGTCTTCCCAGCGCCCGGCCCAGAGTTCAAATCCTGCTCTGGAAGCAGCCCGAGCTTGGCTCCTCCCCCAAGGGCACCAACCATCCAGAACCCTCCCGTAGGGCAGCCAGAGGGACCCCCCCGAAAAGGCTCACCCTGGGCGAAGGGGCAGGAGTCCATGGACTCTGACCCCTTGTTTCACGGTGGACCCCAGAACCCAGGGACAAGAAAGCTCCTGGTCAGACAATAAGGTCAAGGCCCAGTGGGGTCGCCCGTCTTAACCGGGCCACCTCTTCTAGAGCTTGGAGAGCCCCCTGCACCCAAGCAGACCTCCCAAATGTGCTGCTGAGCCAAGCATAAGACTGCGGGCCCCAAGCCCTCAGGAAGGCCCAGGCAGCCCCCCCTTACTCCTCACGGGGAGCCACTCCCCCAGCCCCTCAGCCCGGCACCGGACCCCAGAGGCCCTCTGGCCAAGGAGGCTGGGGTGCTGGGCCTCGGGCCTCAGCCCTGGCCCTCCTCCCACCGCGTTATTAATAGCGGTGACATTTAAAAAGGATGGCCCAGAACCTCAGAATGCAGATTTCAAAGTGAAAGCAGCTGAACTTGAGCTCGGCACCCGGTGCTGCCTCCATGCCTCCAGAGATCCGCCATGCCTCCAGAGACCCCTGCCGACCCCGGCCCATCGCCTGGTCCTGACATTTCCACACTGCCGTCACCGCCGGCGTCCTCACAGAGCCCGCCCCAAGCCCAGGGCCGACGTCCCTTTGAGCTTGGAGGAATGGACAGAGCACAGCATGGTTCTGACCGCGGCTGAGGGTCACGGACATTCATCTCAAGTAAGAAGTCACGTTCCAGCCTGGGCCGGGGGGAGGGCAGGACGCGCTCATTTGAATTGTCCTGGAGTCAAGGTGCAAAGTGTCCCCAGTGCCAGGCCATAGCCAGCTTCCTTGCTCAGCCACCAGCGAT